TACAACACCAATATGGAAACTGAGTTGCCACGTTTTTGTCATAAATGATTAGAGATTTTATATTAAATTACTACCAATCAATAACCTAACACTTTAGTTAATCTTAATTTTGCAATATTAGCCAAAGGCCCACGGCAACGCGAGCCACCTGAACGTAGGTTAGTTTCCACCAAAGCAAAGCGTAGGTCAGGAAACCAACGAAAGAGCCGAAATGTTCATCGTAACGTAATAAATTTATGGTCCCTACTAGACACTTTCAAAGCTTCAAAAAGGAAAGAAGTTGATCTAGCAAGTATTACAATAGGCTGATGTTATTAAGTATAGAATGCAAAAAAAATAGCATGGCTAAAGAGAGTGCTATTTAATTTGCCACCTACTTTCCATACGCTCCTAAAGCATCTATTATTGTATTGCCTTCATGATGAAAAGGGCATTGAGTTGGCCAGCCAGCCCCACCAGCCAAAATTAATTCAAACTCAGACTCATAATCTGTTCTAGATTGGCCAGATTTTGATAGTTTTTCGACTCGATTGAACTATTTTAGCAGATTCGATTAAGTAAAATATGATGATCACTCCATGCTCCCTTAAGCTTTCCTGGGGTACTTTCCAAGGCGCATCTAATGATACCAAGTAACGTAGATGTTTGAATAAATTTATTGAATAATTTACAAAAATATGAAAAGAGGTTTCTGGACTAAAAGACGAAATTTTACATATCAAAGTTCCACAAAGATGACTTTAGTCGTTACGTTGGATCAATAGAAACATTTTGATTCAAGATATACCATATGTAAAAGTCTTCGTGTATCAAGGTAAAAACCGCGATCGTTTTATTTTCAATGAAAACTGTGAGGGGTACCTCATGCTTTTTTGGTCGAATTTTGGCCATGTTTTTTTGGTCCTCAAAAATTTGAGCCAATGTGTCAGAAAGTAACTGTCAGACGAGAGCAATTGTTTGGTGCTATTTTGATGATCCAAAACGTCCTTGAACGCAAAAAAAAAACGCAGCGCAAATACGCCCATATTTTGCTGTATTAGACACATTCTTGACTAGAAAGGGATAATATCTGTATGATACTTGCGCGTATATGAAATAACTGCGTGTATATAGATGTAGAGCATCACATAAGAACCAGATTCACAGATAATATAAAAGGTTTTTATATGTAAGTGGAGGGTCAAAATGAAAGTAACAGCATTTTGATATGATACGCAAGAGCAAATCAGTACGCACGAGCTGCCGCTGTGCAGGTTGGTTCTTACCGAAGCGAAGGGAAGGTAAAGAACCATCCGAAGCATAAACTCTCGTATGATTGGTAATTTTTACATCAATCAACAATCCAGGGTTCTTCTGACATTTTAGCTATATTAATTTTGCGATATTAGTAAATGACCCGCGGCAGCGCGCGAGCCGTTTTGAACGTAGGTTGGTTTCATCGAAAGCAAAGCGTAGGTTCAGGAAACCACCCAAAATGTCGAAAGGCTCGTTATTTATAAAATTTGCACAGTAATTAGTTTGCTTTGATTGATTTGACGCATGGTAGAAGAGGTACAAGTCATTCAATATGTTGGGTCATTGTTGCTGTGAATGCTATCATGTCGCAGCCCACTGACAAAGTATGTCAGAGCCTACTTGTATTGCATTACGAGTATAATATTCTTGAAGCAGCGTTAAAAAAATTAAAATATTGAACACTGGATAAGGCTCAAAGAACCTTTGTTTGCATTTACAAGCGTATCCCGAGATATTGAGCGAAGAAGAAAGGCAAGCCTAAAATCACATCAACGAGAATGCTTCCATTCGGCTTAACTCTCAAATGAGATAGCAGGAGCTAATTGTTGGCGACGATAAGCGCACTCAGAAACTTCCAACTGTCAACGCGATTGCAGTCATTATTTCTTATGAACATTCTAATTTTAAAGATATTCCTCATTAGATATCCAGGTAGCTTATTAGCCAGTAGCAGTAGTCTCTTCCAAACGAATCAATGAACGCATTCTGCCTACATGCTATTTTAATATGCTTCAAGTTATAACTGTGAGGCTGCGATTATATATATCTTGGTGGCGAGCCAGACTGACTGGCGTTGTCAAATATGAGAATCCCTAACAAAAGCATTCATGATCTAGCCAGCAGCGCACGCCAGAATTAATTCAAACCCAAATATTTTTATCATTCAAGATTGGACAAATTTTGTCTTTTATCGACTTCTTTAATCTTTTTTGTCCACTGTTCGCCAGACAGTGGAAGAGGACCAAATCCATTCCCTCTTGTAGTTAGATAGTTTAGATAGTTCTTTAGATTAGATTAATTAGTATTTTATGTTCTTATAATATTTCCTCTCAATTGCACCCGCCTCTTCACTTCGACCCATTACTCCTAGTGTACGCGGCTCAATCAATAAACAAAATTTTTAAAAAAAAAATCTTTCTTGTGATATTCGGCTATATAAGTTGTGATGATCGGCCCATACTTCTTAATACATTCTTGGAGTACATTTTATGGTGCTTCCAATGGTGCCAAGTAAAACAGATGTTTTGACTGAACTTACCGAATCATTTCACAAAATATGAAATGAGGTTTTTGGTTTAGAATGCCGAAAATTTTAATATGAATGCCTCACAAATGTGGTTTCAGGGGCTGTCTCAGATCGACAAGAACATTTTGATCTAATATATACCATAGTAAAAGTCTTCATTTTCAAGGTGAAAAATGCGATAGTTTGATTTTCGATGAAAACCATGAGGTACCCCTCATGGTTTTTGATCGATTTTTGGCCATGTGTTTTGGGTCTTCAAAAAGTTGAGCAAAGGTGTTAGGAAGTTACAACTACTCAAGCACAATTGTTTGGCGTTATTCCGGTGGCTCAGAAAGGTCTACATGTCAGGATATGAAGGCTTAAAAACTGTCCAATTTGGTTATGTATTGCTTTTTGGCTTTTATTTACATGGCATGAATCACATCTTTAGTAGCTGAAGTCTTCTGGAAGGGCAGTTCTGCAGCATGTACAGCTTCTAATTCGAACAGGAGGCATATTGATTTCGATAAAGCTGATTCATGCAAATTTTGATGTGATATATTACGGGTAAGCTTATTGACAATGGAAATGATAACCCGAATTTGCTGCTTGAATACTATGGTTTTGCATCTTCGCTTCGCTGCGATCAAGCCCTCATATAGATCAATGCTACCAAATGTTAAATTAGATGCTTAGTTGTCATAGGTTTTGCATCTTTGCTTCGCTACGGTAAATCCCCAAACCCCCCTCCCCATTGCCGGCTTCGCCGGTGGTTTTATTCATCTTGTACGGCACACAATTCTACAAAATTTTGAAAGGATATGATTGACTTGTCTACTTTTTTTTGAATTGGGATGCAAAATTGAGGATGAGCAATCCCACTTTTGGCAGTCTGCTTGGTTATCGTGTAATTGTGCAAGCAAATCGCGTCAAACTAATCTCGAGCTCAAGTCTCTTGCAACAAGGCGTCGGCTCTACTTTTTTTTTTTTTTTTTTTTTTTTTTTTTTTTTTTTTTTGCATATAAGATTACCAATGCTTCAACTACAGATGCAAATACTGATAACCTTTGAGCTAGATAAGCTAACGAAGGATGGTGTATTAATTATTCTCACAGTTTATACAGCTGGTGTTACATTTAGAAATATAAAAGTGCTTTATCGTTATTTCCTTCATACCTTGTCAGTCATTTTTGTACCATCCCATCGAGTCCTATCATTAATTTCCTTTTAAAAGAGATGAGGTACCATGTGCCGTTTATTTTTAATTCTTTATTGCCTAGATTTAGTAAATCAACAAAAAGATATTTCATTTGTATCTCGGAAGGTTGCATTATCTAAAAAAAGTGAATGGGAAGAAGCGGTATCATCTCATGGCTATCAATTTGATGCAAACATTGTCTCTTTCCAAGATTTAGGACAAATTTTTTGAGCAGGTTTCATAAAATGCCATCAAACTGGCTGATGCATGCACCATAAGTATCACTTATGGTGTCAAATGGTATTCCACGGGTGAGCTTTTGTGATTCATTGATATACCATTCATGGTCAAGGGCGATCACCCTGAGGTTTCTCATAAAATGATATGGATTATGTATCCCTCATTTAGTCATCTGAAAGTGAAGATGTTTTTATAGATGAACTTGGTAATTTAGGCCCTAAAAACGAGGATTTTCCCATGTAAGCAACTCGTATCACAACTGCTTTGTACTTGGTGAATCTTGGACGCCGGATAAACATACTAATGATTCTCACAAGCACATTAAATGGACAAATCCAACAAAGCCTAGCATTAAATACACTAAAGCCAAGCAGAAATCAGCACTTTTAAGGACCCACTTCTCATCGCCTAGACTATTACCAGCGCTTAAATTGGTACCATACAATTGCCCTCGATCATCAGTATCAATCTCACTCACTTTCTCAATTTTTTGCAGATCATCGAAAATCCTTCGATTTGGACGAGGCACCCTAGGGCCAAATCCTTTAATGTAACAAATCTCGTATTTTCAGTTTAAAAAATGCAGTTTTTTGGCAATACATTTGCTGCGACCCAGGGCCTCAAATTAGCGTGTCTTTGCATTGGAAACGTAAAATAAAGGTCTCCAGATATATTTTTCAGAGCTTCCATCGATTTGTTGAAATTCAACATACGTGAAAACTGCGAGGCAATTTATGAGAAAAAAAAAAACAAAAAATGGGAGGGCATAGAGCATGTCGAAAAACACATGTTTTGTTAGAGACATTGTTCATGTTACATAGCAGCTTTGGATAGTAAGAATTCTTTAAAGGTGTAGAAAATTTCAAAAAATGTCAAAACCATAAAAATTTCATGGTTTAACGACGCCTTTTAAATCCCATTGAACACCAGTGCTCCTACTGTGGAAGTGATGTGCTTGGGATGTAAATTCTTGACATTTCTGAATCAACGCTAATGGGCTAAACGAAAAAAAAAAACTTTTTGTTGAACAAACTAGGTATATTATCTAAGAGGGGCATTACAAAAAGGGCATCTTTCACCTCTAGGAGAAGCGGCAAGGCGTCTAATTTTACCACATTCAGAGTCAAGTGTATGTCCACATGGCAACTTGCAGCTCAATGGCTTGATGCAAGGCCCACATGCTTCACAACAGCGACGCATACATTGGTGGTTGCAATTTAAAATCTTTTCGCACTGTTGTTTGCAGCGGTAATCGCTGTGATCGTAAGGGTGACACTTTAAGGTACACTACAATGGTCCAATGTGAGCATCGTCTCAGTATGTTTTGTAATAATTTACTTACTCTGTGACCACAGGGCAACATCTCATTACATTGTTGCTGACAGCCGCCCTCCTCAACTGTTGTAAAGTCAACAGGCCATTGAATCTCTGTGGGTTGGCCATGGCGTTGACACTTGAGAACTAGTTTGGTGCCAATCATATTTCCATTCTGTTCTTCCAAGTTGCCAACAATCTCATTCCAGAGATCACTCTTTTCACACAAGAGTCGAGCATTGCCGAGTATATAGAAGCCCTACAAATCAGTTAGTAAATGCACCAAATGACGTGTTTGCTTCACAACAACTTACATGCTGAGCTCTAGATAAGGAAACACACACACGATTGACCACCTTCAAGAAACCAATTTGACCAGCAGCATTACTACGGACCAGAGACAGAATGACAATCTTGTTCTCTTCACCTTGATAGCCATCCACACTGCTCACCAGGATTGGCCCTGGATCAACATCAGGTCTTCTCTCTTCGCAAAGAGCACGCTTGATCATGGTCTTTTGACCTGAGTACATGGTAATGATGGTAATTTCTTCAGGCTGGTAACCTTGCAGTATCAAATAGACGGCTAATTTGGCTGCCATTTTGGCTTCATGCTCATTCACCTTGGAAGCAGATTCGCTCATGTTGGTTTCGTCCTCATTGTGAGCCAAAAAGTATAGAGATTGATCCATACCAAGAATGGGAGGATAGGCTGCCACGTCTGGATGGTCCATGAGTGGAGGGTCTTTGTAGATGGGGTTGATCAATGCGCGAATTTCAGGACGCATACGTCTTTGATGAGACAGACGAGTAAAAGGGAAATTGTTCATTACAAGACGCTCAAAGAGAGAAACACCCAGGGCATGATTCTCAGCCAGTTCGTGAACTGAAGTAGAGGGTCTCAGTTGCTGATGATCACTGCGCATCAAGGGTTAGTATGAGATCCATACGGAGGGTGGTTTGGCTTGCTTACCCAATCAAGATGAGATGTTCCAGTGAGTTGGTCAATGCAGAAATAATATGAGACTCCAGCATTTCAGCAGCTTCTTCTACCACCATGACTCTGGGACGCATCTCTTCCAATAAATCGTGGTATTTAGCCTAAAAGACGAATTGAGTGTCTTTTTCTCTATTACTTGGCGAACATCATACTTACGGCAGCAGTACTTGTCATGCCAACAACTCGGTTTTGTCTACAAATCTTGGCCTCATAATTAGCAGTGCACTTGCGAATAGCCTGCGATTTTTCATAGTACTGCCTCATCAAGGCATTCAGCTTGGCCTCAAGACCAGCATTGCGTTGATCGATCCATTGCTTGTGAGCTTTCAAACGGACCTGCAGAGGCCACATGGATAAGTCGTCGTCCTTCATCCATCTGTCCAGTGAATATTTGTAGCTGTCCTCCTCCTGCAATACTTGTTCAATATTGTCATCGAAAAGTTGAATTTACTGGCATCAAACGTGTTGCTGGTCTTTATCTTGCTATAGTTGACAATCTTTCTTTCAGGGCGTTCACCCAAGCCCACTTCAGTCTGGCGCTTGTAGTTTTTGCCAATCTGAATGAATGGGAACTTTAGCTCTTGATCGTCACCTTGGAATTGAACAATCACTTCCTGAAGCTCTTCTTCTTCAATCATATCACTCTCGTCATTGATATCGTCAAAACGAGTCCCTTGTCTTGCTCCAAGATGCTTTCCTTCAAGTCATTCGCCAGAGACGACATTTCTCCAGCGTCATCGACATAATCGATAGCATCCTTCAGCCACACTTCCACAGGGTTTGATGTTTTTTCCTTAACAGGGCTGGCCATGTTGGGATTGCCACCAGCCCAATCATGCTTGATACCTCTCGAGTCGTTTCTGCCTCTGTTAGATTGCTGTTGCTTTCGTTGGTTGTTGTTCTTTCTGTTGTTAATGGGAGCTGGGCCCTTGAGAGTAGGAGCAGCGCCAATGACCCAATCATCGTCCGAATCACTATCTACCACATAACTGTTCAAGCTAGTAGCAGCAGCAACAGGCTTGTTCTTTTCACGCTCGGCCGCTCTTCTCAACGAATCGATCTGCTTGGGCCTCAATCCTCTGATGCTCTCGATGAATTCAATAGTAACGCAGGGCTCTTCATATAGCTGGATGATGGTATTTTTGACCTCTTTAATGAGGCTATCACGTTCACGATACAATCGACCGATACCACGAGGTCTGTCATACGTCTTTTTCAGCTCGAATAATGTGTGATCCTTCAGCAGCTCTGATTTGGATCGACCGCCCACACGCACAATCTCATTGCTGTAGTCCAAGATGTGTTCCAGAAACTGATCCAAAGCTGTCAAAGGAAAGTCTGCTTAACACAATGCCTTCAATCTCACTGATGGGTCCACTCTTACCATGATTTGTCTGACAGATACATACAATAGGGCCCAGCGAGCCATCATAGTTGTTCAGGAGCACGCGCATAGCGTAAGTACCAACATACGTTTTACCCGTACCAGGAGGACCTTGAACGATAGAAAGATTGTGTGATAAAATAGTTCTCAGAGCATCCATCTGTGTACGATCCATGCCAGTAGGGTATTGGGGCCAATTCTGCAAAATGTCAACAGGCCAACGATCTCGACGAATATTCTTAGACCGCACGTTGATATCATAGATTCGTTTCGTGGCAGCATAGTGGGGCACCAAGACTTCGTTTGACAACTTGACCAAGTAATCAGAAAATGGTAGTTCGTTTGGCTTGACATTCTTAAAGACCTTCAACACATGACGGTAGGCCTCAAAATAACCATCCGTAGCTTCGATCATAACATAGGTGTCATCCTCTGCCAAAGATGGATCGCCAAAACCAAAGGGCTGTTCACTGTTGTCTCTTTCAAGGTAGATGTCTACTAGAAATTCAAAGCGGTTGGATCCACGCATAGGCTCGTCACCACGATTGACGATGGTTGCAATTTTCAAGTCCTTTTCAAAATGATCCTTGGATAACAAGACCAACGAACCAGGCATCAGGCGCTTGGATTGCTGCCAGTTGACATGTGCATAGTAGGGCAAGCGAAAGCTGACTCTGTAAAGCGGTTGACGACTACCAAACACGATGGCATTCAAATGGACCTTGTTGAGATGGATCAGTTACCGGCCGCTGATGTACAGAAGCGGCATACTTACATGTTCATATAATCTGTAGGGTCTCTGCTGCGAAACTTGCTCCATTGCCACACCAACGTCTTCTTGATTTTTGGCGTAATTGAAGGCCACCTTGTATCCTCTCACAGCCTTCTGCAAAGGGATCAAAAAGTCTTGCCGCATCAATTCGAAATGGGTATATAGGTATTCATCAATGGTGTCGTAGGGTGTCTTGACACGGTTGATGGGAACGTCAGGAAAGGGGTCTCTCCAGCCTCGTGATTCCCATTCCTCTGGATCCTTTAATTCATCACAGGCAACAATCTGCTCAAAGTCAGGCACGATATCCTGTTTGCGAAATGCTGTGTAGTCGGTGACTTTAGAGAATACGGGTGCATCTTCGATATCCAGGTTTAATCTGAACGTGGTGGCTGATGTTTCTCGTGTGCTGAATTTATCAGCTGTGTACTCTTGTTCATCTTCCTGGTGGTTCCAAGCTGTGTGATTGTCAGGCGTAGCGCCCCAACCGTATTGCGATTCCATGGCCCAGCTCTGTGATGGCGCTGCATTCCCAAAGTCAAATTTAGATCGTGTTGGAGGGCGTCTGCTGGGAGTCACCTCAAACTCGTTTGTCAAACCATTAAAGTTGGCAGTGATGACATCTGGACCAGCACTACACACGAACATTGATTAGCATTGATTAACATTGTGTCTTCATTATAATGCGGTGTCTTTATTACAAGGGAGAGTCCCAGCTTGCTTTGTTGTCGTTGTAGCGTGACATTAGCGTTAAATACAAAGAAAGAAACAAGTATTCGAGGATTATTTTCAGCCAAAATGAGTTTTAAAGTGTTTTATTAGTGAAGAGAAAGAGGTCATTCAAATTATCATCCGTAAAAAACATCGAAAATTCCTTTGCAATCAACTCCTCCATGCTTGGATTATCACAATCTATATGATATTCATTGAATACAGCAGTGGGTGCAAGTGAAAGGTTTGAAATGCTACTCTCAGTTGGTGCCTGTGAAAGATATGGATGAGCACCATTTAAATAAGGGGCGTTAAGATTTGAATTGCTGCTGTCGATGGGTAGATTTGAAGGATTTGACAAGAAATTATCGAAATGTAGAGTATGCTGATTTGAAGCTATTAAACCATGGCATGAAATATTTTTGGGCGTCTCGCTAGTGCTCTTTTCTAATCGATTTTCTGGTATAACATTTAAATCGCTGGGACGTACGGTTGACTTACTTGCTGTGGGTGTCAGTGATCTCTGTAATGGTGTCCCTTTTTGAGTCAATGCAGAGGTTTTCTTCTTTCTAGGTGGTTTTGGTCTATATTTCCAATTTGGATAGTTTGCGCTATGCTTCAATTTCTCTATTTCAGACTCACGGGCGTAGTATTTGTGCTCTTCATCGGACAGTTGCCACCATTTCTCCTTTGCTAATCTTGAAATCTCGGATGCATGAAGTTCCTTGTGAAATGGGCGAATTTTTCTTTTGCGAAAAATCATAAAAGCGTTTTCAGGACGTCTGATGTGCTTCACGGCAGGTCCATCTTTTTTAGCTATTGACTTTTTATTGATTTCTTCTGTGACCCAAAGAAGTTCCATCATTTGCAGGACTGAGAATAATGAGGAAGAGAAAGAAGTATCCATCATATGTGAATTAAGCACAGATCTTTATATAATTTTAAGAACAATGAAATTAGAAAATGCAGCTCAGGGGTTACACGGTAAGCATATACTGCATTTCATTAGCACTCAAGTTCAGCAAATCATAATTCAAATGATCTTTACTGTCAAGTTACGTGCATTGTATTGTTCTCACCAACATTTCATTGTGTTTTCTTGTATTTTCATGAAGAACATGGTAGAAAGTAGGTATAGGTCGCCTGAATTGCAATGAGAGCTGCTCTTGAGGAGCGATATAATGCGAGATAATAGAATGTTCATTACTGTAAACTATGCAGGCTACTTCTAATGGAGATGGTGTAAGTTTTGCTGTAGCGCAATAAAAACAATTAAAGAGTAAGTCTTTTGTATTTTCTTGAGCAATAGTTGCTAACCAAGGATTTAGTTAGCTAGAATTATGTAACATGGCCCTGAAGGCGATAAATTTAATAAGTATCATAGTGCGAATGGTTGGGCGAATAATGGATAGATACTATGAGCGGCTGATGCACTTTTCAAGGATGCGGAATTTTGTATACAAGATCCAACATGTCTTTTGAGGTACTTGCTATATTTTACATCACGTTTTTGAAATAAGATCAGTAAGTTCAAAATGCCACTTTCAATGGGCAGTTTCACACACGGTTTTATCAGTCTGGTGTAGCATACTGATGGCTATCTACGTCATATTCTTTTGATTGAGGGGAAATCAGAGCTTTAAATAGACCGTGGCCCGCTAGAAATCTAATGTCAAACTATGTTTGCTACCAAACCTAGTTCTCGAGAAGTAGCGAGAAATCTTAATGAAGAATATTCCTCATACCCAGGCATCAACAGCGCCCCCAAACTACGCCATTCAACCACGGAAGACTTGGCAACACCTACTTGGATAACAAATGAAAGCAAGATAAGACAAGCAACGAGCATAGGCACCTTTTCCCCGCCAGGCACCACACGATCCAACAAGAGTAATGAAGGAGGTTTCTTTTCCTTGTTCAAAGGCACCATAGATCCAGACCTACAGAGCGACCTTTCGACACGACATATTCAAGATGAGGATGGTAAGGACACGGGAAATCGCTTTGAAATATGGAGTCGAGTTTTACCTACGAGTGGAAGCCGCGGCCAACACCATTTCGTCCTGTCTGATAACCTCAAATTCATACTAAACTGTTGCATGTGGTATCTCTCCAGCTCACTGACCAACAATGTGGGTAAATCCATCATGAATGCGTTCCAGTTTCCAGTGACACTGACATTTGTGCAATTTGGGTTGGTTGCTTTTTGGTGCTATGTGATTGCCGTGATCAAGTCGAGTCGCATTCGATCACCCACACACGATATCCTCAAGACAATTACACCACTGGCCTTGTTTTTGATTGTGGGGCATGTGTTTTCTAGCATTGCTATTAGCAGAGTCCCTGTGAGTTTGGTCCATACAATCAAGGTAAGTAACTACTTGTCATTGTAATAGGGTCTATCCCACTCAATCTAACCATGTGCAGGCACTGGCACCATTGTTCACTGTGCTGTTTTATCGACTGGTCTTCCAAGTCAGCTACACACAAAGGGTCTATGTGTCCCTGATACCACTAACAGTTGGCGTGATTCTTGCTTGCTCGTTTACGTTTTCCAACAACATTGTTGGCTTATCGTGCGCCCTGGGTTCATGCTTCATCTTTGTCACTCAAAATATCTTTAGCAAGAAGCTGCTGTTCAAAGAGTCGAAACTAGGAGATCGAAACCCCAACAAGCTGGACAAATTAAACGTATTGTATTACTCTTCCATCATCTCCTTCATCTTGATGGTGCCACTATGGATGTATTACGACGGTAACGGCTTGTTCTTTGATCAACAGCAACCACCAATCAACGGTGCTGAATATACCATGTCTACATCCAAGCTGATCATCTACTTGTTTCTGAATGGCACCATGAACTTTTCCCAGAACTGGTTTGCATTCACCACCCTTAGCTTAACGTCGCCTGTCACTTACTCCATCTTGTCGCTGCTAAAGAGAATCTTTGTCATTGTCATGAGCATTGTGTGGTTTGGACAGCATATTTCATTGACGCAATTTGTCGGCATCTTTTTGACGTTTGTTGGATTGTGGATGTATCAAAAGGCGAAATCAGACGTGGACAAGGGCGAAATCAAAATCAGAGAAAAGGAATCCATAGACATGCTGCCCATCCAACGGGAATTGGATGGCATTGATATCAAGCTTAAATAAATAAAGTGTGGTAGCCATTGTAGCATAGTTGGCAGGTACTTTTCTCTGCACTGCTGGTCAGAACGATTCAAACGTCATATTACACGTCGAATGAATCTCAGTGCTTTGCTATTTTGTCTTTTTTCTCTCTTGACACCACCACCACCACAACAACAACAATGGGACCAAGGAAACCAGAAGTCGAATACATCTCATTACGAAAACTGCAGCTTCAGAAACAAACCGGACCCACAGAGAGAACAGCAGAAGCTTACAAATGCTTGGAGAGACTCGCCAACAGCGCTTTGAACAATGGACCCTTTAGCGTAACGTTTGATAAGAAGCAGCCTCACATGGCCCCTACTGGCGATGCCCGAGATTTTCTCAGCTATGCTCCGTAAATATACAATACATGCACATATTTGCTTTGAGTTAATGAATATATACGACATGTATATTCTAGATATTGGTGGCCTGTAAGACGAGCTCTGAATTCATGCAATTGCAGTATCTAAAATGCTTGCATTAATAGGAAAACCCTCAGGATCCCAACACAAGGTACATTCGTAAAGATGGCAAGCGAAACCCAGGTAAGACGCTTTCATCAGAATGCGCATGCGTGCCTTTGCTAACAAGGCCTGACAGACATTGGCCATGTCAAGGATCAGTTTCAATTGGAGTCAGTGGCCGAGAACCTTCAGTTTCTATGCTTGGGATACTACTTTTTCAACAATGAAAACTATGCCATTTACGCTGTAGCATTGCTGGACACCTTCTTTGTAAATGAAAAGACTCGCATGAACCCCAACCTGAATTACGCTCAATTTGTCAGAGGCTCTCAGAACCATTCACCATTTGGACGTGGAGAAGGAGTCATTAGCTCGCGTGTGTAAGGAAGTGGCATCCGTTGATTTGTTTATCACCGATCAGGCTAAATTAATCGCTTCTATTCGCAGGTTATCCCGTATCGTGAACCTGTTACCGCTTTTAGATGCATTCCATGGCTATTATGCATTAAAGCAATATATACACTCTTGGTTCGGCAGCTACTTGCATTGGCTTCAGACCAGTCCTGTCGCTTTAGAAGCAGCAGCAGCCAGAAACAACATTCATACGTGGTATATTGTGCAATTGGCGTCCATTGAACAGTTCCTGAACCCGGTGTCGCCTCAGGTATCCAATGTCCTGTTCCGGTTCTTTAATGAATCGCTGCCAAAGCAGATGAATCCCAAGACGGGCAATCAGCCATACGAATCAAAGCGAACAAAACCACTGCACTATTTAGCCTTCAACTTGCAGGCTATCGTCATCTTGGCAGAGCTCGCCAAAGACGCCGGTCTGGATATGTATCGCTCACATGAATTGACCCTGTTAGCCACCTACATCGCCAACAAGTACGGATCTGACGAGACGCAAGACATTACAGAGGCAGTGCGATGCATCGAGATCATTTCCCATGCCATTCAAGACCAAAACGAGGTGTGTAGATGCTTTGTCGAAAAAGCGTATCATTGCAAGTTTTCAGACAGGTTGGGTGGCCCTAAAAATGCACTCTATGTGCTGTGGTTCTAATGATCGACCGATCTGATGCATATGAGCTGTCAATATTTTGATGCGTTTCTTATTTAACAATAAAGTAGGTTTTGATACGCAAACATTGAAATTATACTTGATTTAGATATATCGTTTTTTCCATGCTCATGATCCATATTGTGCACTTACAAGTAGCATTTGCTGTACCCTTTTTCCCTCATTCTTTCGTTTTACAACTGCGTACATGAAGCCTAACCTGATAAGCATCTCGTTCAATCTGAGCAAGTTGTTAGATTCAAGTTCGCATAGTATCACTGACGCTCAAATTTTAAAATCACTGTATTATTCGAGCAACTCAAAAAGATC